GCCTGCTGGCTGAAAAGCTTCCAGGAGGGAGCAGGGGCAGGAGCAGGAGGGTGGAGCTTGAGCCAGACAGCGCAGTCTCAGGCCCAGTCAGCCTTCTGTCCTCTCCTGAGCCTGACTGACAGATACCACCTCCACTGCCTCTGAGCTTGACCATAGGGCAGAGTAAGTACAAAGGCTGGACTGCAGATGGGGGCTCCCTGGCAAGGGCTGGGGGCAGACATGGGGACAGCAGAGGAAGGACTCTGGATGGGAGACTTAAGAGCTTTGGTGGCACCCCTGACAGCGCAGTTGTTATCCATTGGACTGTGATCCGGAAGGTTGGCAGTTCGAAAGCACCAGCAGCTGGCTCCGCAGGAGAAAGACTGGGCTTTCTACTCCCGTAAAGAGTGACTGTCTCAGAAATGCACAAGGTCACTATGAGTCGGCAGTGACTCGGTGGCAGCAGGTTTGGTTTGGGGTGCGCTGGTGGAAGTGACCAAGTGGGGGGGGGGGGCATCTCTCCACCCACTGTGTGGCCGTGTCCTGGCACTCACCCGTCCCGGGCCTCAGTTTCCTCATAAGTCAAGTGGAAATAGTTCATCCTCCGCAGACCCCTGGCCTGACTGGGAGGGTTCCAGGAGGCAGGGCTTCTCCGGCAGGTGGGGCTGGTCCCCAGGCCCCTGGGAGTGCCCTTAGCAATGTCTGCAGTGGGTTTGGTTGGGGCAGGGGCATGCTGCTACTGTGTCCAGTGGCCAAGGACGCTGCTAAGGTCCTGCAGTGGAGGTGGCCGTCCCTCCAGGACCCAGAGTGACCCCAAGGTCAACAGCATGGGAGGTTGCAAGATCCAGCAAGGAGGCTGACAGAGCTCAGAGACGGAGGGCTCTAGTTGTGTGGGCTCGAAGTCCTGGCCCCCAGTGTCAGCAACAATGCTAAACACCGCCCCTGCCCTGAGGAGAGGCGGCCTCAGGGTGGCCCCGGGGCTGCCCGGTCTGTGGAATGCACCCAATGTCAAAACAAATCAGAGGGTCCTTTAACATTTCCCCCTGATGGGCCCCGGGAGAAATGCAACCATCAGAGGGAAATGCATCCTTCTCCCCAGACCGCGGAAACCGAGGCCGGGCCCGGATCCCAGGACCAAAACTGTGAGCAAAGGAGGCCCCATGTGGCTCTTTAGCTGCTGGTCAGTGTCCAGCAAGTGGCCCACCACTGACGAATTCCAGAGCAGAGGGGCAGGTGCCTTTGATGATTCATTCATTCATTCCGCCAAGGTACAGGGAGCATTAGGAGAGTCCTGGCTGCCCCGACCACATTTTGTAGCTGGAGAGAGGCTGGGCGCTTGTCTCCACACCTGTATACATGCTGGGAAATGAGCCGGGTACCACACTGCTAAGTGCTGGGCTGCCAGCCAGAAGGCTGGTGGTTCAAATCCATCCAGTGACAGTGGGGGGGGGGGGGGCGGGCAAATGCAGCGATAGGCTTTGGTAAATGATGCCAGCCTTGGCCAGCCTGGGGGGCAGTGTTACTCCATCCTGGGGGCCTCGAATAGACTCGGCCGTGTGTCACAGTGATTGGCAGGACTTTTAGAGACATGAGCTAGTGTCTAGGGTGGACAGCAGGAGGGAGGAGCTGGCCTTAAGAGAAAGGGGGAGAGTGGGGCACGTGTCCAGTCAAAGGTGGGGACGTGCCAGGGCCCAGGGTGGTGTCTGCTGGGCTCCCATGATGGACCAAAAGAAGAGATGGGTATAGAAGAAGCAGGTGGGGGGTGTGGGGGCTGGGGTGGGGTCAGTCAGAGTGGGGCCAGAGAGGGCAGGCAGAGCGGGTCCTTTGTGGGTTAGCAAAGTCCAATTCTCCCAAAGATTCCCAAGGAGGACACTGACCACAGCATGGGTGACCGAAGGAGCTGGCTTAAAGTCAGGAAGGGGCACTTCCCTGGGCCCAGGCGAGGGACGGAGGGGCTTCTGCAAGGATGGAGTGTGCCCAGCAGATTTGAGACCTATTTTGGAGAGAGCAATTGACCAGCCACACAAGTGGACAGGAGGTAGCAAGGGGCATCAGGAGAGGTATTTGCCATCCCTTCCTCTGTCCTGGGGCAAAAGTGACCTGGTCTTGCCCTCTCCCAGTGTCTCTCCCTCCCACCCCCACCCCCGTGCCAGGCCTTCCCTCCTGTTTGAAGGTAGGCAGATATTGAACAGGTATTTGGATACCTGGCTGGGCCTGGCTTTGTCTGAAGTTTGGGGAATCAGGTAGCAGTTTGGGGTGCCTGGTGGGAAGACTGACATCCCCCCCCCACCCCCCTGCCCTCAGCATGCTTCTCCCACCTCCTCCAGGCCCCTTGTCTTCAGATTGACAGATGGCTGGATGGCACTGATCTCATCTCACGTCTCAGACCCACTGCTGCAGAAACCCTTGTTTCAGGGCTCTCTGTGTTCCAGCCCCAGGCTCCCAGGCAGGCCCAGAGTCACCTCTCCTCCCTGGAGGGGGAGCAGAGAGAGTGCGTGCCCCAGAGGCAGAGCTGTCCAGGTCGGAATCCGGGCTCCGTCCCTGAACGGGCTGAGCTAGTGTTTCCTGGAGGCTCAGCATCTCCAAACCGAAGCCCCTGCCATCGGGCCCAGGCTGGCTCCTAGGAGCTGCAGGTGGTTTCAAACTTCTGACCATGAAGATCGAGCCCCAACATGTACCCACGACACCGCCAGGGCCTGAGCCTCAGCATGTTCATCCATAAACTGGGCTGAGCCCCGTCTACTCTGGGTGAAGAATAAATGTCCTCACAGACATTGAGGCTAGCCCCCAACCCCCAACTCACTGCCCTCGGGTCGATGCCAGCCCATGGTGACCCAACGGAACCGTGTCCAACTGCCCCTGTGGGTTTCTGAGCCTGTGGCCCTCGTAGCCATTCAATAAACAGATCAAACCAAAGCATCGACATGGGGTCCACGGTGACTCATGGTGATGCCCGGTGATACCACCGGTGGGGGGTTGACAAAGGAAGAGGCAGATGCCCAAAGTCATGACCCTCCAGGTCTCTAGGTCTTTCTTCCAAGGGGCCTCTCAGTGGGTCCCAAGAAACCACATTTAGTGCTTGACCACTCAGGGACACCCCCCCAGCACGCACACCCCCCCACACACACACACACCTCAATGGGCAGCAGCTCTGATTGAAACGGGGCACGTGTTGATTCAGATGGAGCAGAAGGTCTGAGGTTTACACTCGACATCCAGGGAGCTTACATGGAGCTGGGCCTTCTCACCAAAGGCCCTGCTCGGTAGGGAGACCCCAGAGCAGGGGAGGGGGGAGGAGCTCTGTGGATCAGGTGTTCACCTGGGGGAGGAGCACGGTGCTGGTTACCACCCACAGCAGGGCCTTTGAGCTCAGGAAGAAGCTTGACTTGTAGAGGGCCTTGTTCACTGTCACCTGGCCAGCTGCCTGGGTGGGAGAATGGAGTGAGGGGAGCAGTGGGGTGTGGAGGGGGCAGTCAGCCAACCCTCTCTCCCAGGCCCACCAGGGGGGCTGCCTCTGGGCTCCAGGGAGCAGGAAGTTGCCCTGCCTTATGGAATTCTTTTGAATCTAGCAGCTCCATGCTTATCTACAAAGCGGGGACCTCCCTCCTCTCCTTGCCTGCCTTCCTCCCTCCCCTCCCCTCTGCCTTCCTCCCTCACCACAAGGTCAGTGGAGCTGAGCTATCTCTCTAGAAGGTTCCTGGTAGCCACGGTTACACCGAAGGAGCACATCGTACGGAGGGAAAACATGATGCTTTAGAGGACCCAGAGATCACACCACCTCCGCAGTCCATCCTCTGAGAAATCTCTGCCAAGGGCCCTGCCCAGAGAGAGGAGCAGGGTGGGAGCCAGGGCGGTGTTTCTTCATTACCTGCAGAGACCAAGGCAGGAGCGCCGACCAGAGGAGGCTCAGACACACTAGTGGGGGCCCTGGAGCGGGTCAGGTGGTGGTGGTGAGGGCAGGGGACCGTCTGTGCTCTGGCTGAGAGTGGTCACCTCAGGGTGGGGGTGGGCAGAATGGAACCTCCCATTATCCTTTTAGCTGCCCTCTGACTCCTGGACAAACAAAATGCTGCCTGGGCTTCCACGGTGCCCCAGACAATCGCCCGTTGTGACCCACAGCATTGCCCGTTGTGACCCACAGCGTTGCCCGTTGTGACCCACAGCGTTGCCCGTTGTGACCCACAGCGTTGCCATCAGCTAGTATTCAGAGCTCGACGGCCAGGCCTTTCTTCGTAGTCTTAGTCCGGATACTCCACTGGACCCTGTCCACCTGCTGCCACACCGGCGGCAGAGCTTCCAGCATCGGGGCAGGGACCAAGCCGGGTGGAGGAAACCTCAGGGTGGGCATCTGTCAAGTGGAGCTGGGCCGAGAGCCCGGCAGGAAGGACAGTGAGGGGTTCCCTGTAACGCAGAGGCCTCTGGACGTACCCCTCCCCCGCTGAACGCAGGCGCGCCAGGGAGGCTGGGCAGCGGGTAAGTCACCCAGCCCCAGTGATAAACCCAGGTGTGGTATGGCAGTCAGCTGCCCTGGAGTCAGCCTCTGACTCTCCGAGATCCCCATGCCAAGGAGATGGAAACACTGCCCCATCCTGCCCCATCCCCATGACTGGAAGTGGCCGGCAGGCCGGGCCTTTCTTCCCAGTCCATCTTAGTCCGTAAACTCTGCTGAAACCTGTTCCCCGACGGGGTGGGTGTACTGGCCAGGCCCAGCTTCTTTGGCACAGTGGCCAACAGAAACTCGCTTTGAAATTGTGCCTCTCTCATGGAAGGCGAGAAGTCGCCCTGGGAACCACCAGTGCCCCTGGGTGAGGGTGAGGGCAGATAAGGGGGGACCCTGGGAGCTCAGGGGTGGCAGAAAAGTGAAGCACAGAGAACCCTCCGTCCACATGTGCATGCCCACCAGATAGGGGTGGCAGGGCGGGTCCTGGACCGCTGACCAATGTCCTGCAGCAAGCTGTATGCCCTCCTCCGCCGCCTCCTCCTTCCTCTCCCTACATCCCCCAACCTGTCCTTGGCCTGCCACTTGCTGGCTTGTGGGCCTCCTAGGCGGTTCCCTCTCCTCTCTTCTCCTAGAACGGTCTCTTCCTGCCAGAACGCAGGGCGGCCACCATGCAGCTCCTCCTCGTCTTGTGCCTGATGCTTCTCAGCCCCGGGATGACCACCATCGGCCGCCGTGAGTCCAGGAGGAAAGCCAAGGAGCTCTCCACAGCAGTCGCAGTGGCTGCCAGCAACAGGGACTTGGCCTTCAACCTCTACAGGGCCTTGGCTGCAGCCGAGCCTGGTTCCAACGTCTTCTTCTCCCCGATCGGCATCTCCATGTCCCTGGCCATGCTCGCCCTGGGGGCCCGGGCCCACACCAAGACGCAGATCCTGGAATGCCTAGGCCTCAGCCCCCAGGACCCCCAGGACCCCCAGGGGGAGGAGCAGCTGCACAAGGCCTTCCGGCAGCTTCGGCTGAAGCTGAGCCAGCCCCAGGACAGCCGCCAGCTGATCCTGGGCAATGCCCTGTTCGTGGACCAGAAGCTGGGGATCCGGGACACCTTCCTGAGGGCTGCCAAGACGCTGTACCTGGCCGAAGCTCTCACCAGCAACTTCGAGGACCCCCAGGGGGCTGAAAAGCAAATCAACGATTACGTGGCCAACCGAACCAAAGGCAAGGTCGTGGACCTGATCAAGAGTCTCGACCGTGACACCGTCCTGGTCCTGGCGAACTTCGTTTTCTTTAAAGGTAAGTGCCTGGCCCTGAACCCAGGCCCTCTCCATCTGCCCTCACCCAGCCCCCTTGCCCACGCAGGGGGGGTGGTGTCTGTGATGCAGGGAAACCCACGGGCAGGCACAGGCCGGATGATACCGTCACCTGGTGACCAGTCACGTCCCTCCTGGAGACCCCAGGAGTGTCCCCGTAGAACTGTGCTCCACAGGGTTTGCGAAGGCCGGGTTCCCCGGCAGTCGGTCTCCAGGACTTTCTTCTGAGGAGCCACCACTGGGTGGAGAAGACCCTCCGACCTTCGGGTGAGCTTCCAGTGCATAGCTCTTGGCACCACTACGGAAGGGCGTGCTTTTGGCCCACAGAGGAAGAGCCCCTGGGGAACTTGAACCGACTGCTTCCACACACTCCAAAATGAGTCCCTCCTGGTCACCGCCAAAGCAAGTGCAGCCCGCTCACCAGGGTGGGGCCCTGGGCTGGGGACCTCAGAGGGCACTGCACAGCCCCCGCCCCTTCGTTGGACGCAGGGGCTGTTGGGTTGGGTTAGACATCTGTAGGCAAGCACCCTTTCCTTTGAGATGGCTCCTCCCCGCCCCCGCCCCCAGCAAATGCTCACTTCTGGTTCAGGCCAACAGCCTGACCTCTGCCAGAGGGCCTACTGCTGCTTCTCCTGGCGCCACACCTTGTCCCGAGGGGCCTGGCTGAGGACGGGGAGAAAATGAGGGTGCCGCCCGCTATCTGGAAGCTGCGTTCCAATGACCATGTTCTCCAGCTGAAAGGGCTTGAAGCAAAGAAGCACTGGCCATTCATGTACACGGGGTGGGGGTGGGGGCGGGGAGGAAGAGGTGATTGAACATACAACTTAGCAAATTATCCCAGGTAGTCCCGGTGGTGTAGTGGTTCCTTGTCGGACTTCGATCTGAGTGGTTGGCGGTTTGAAACCACCTGTGGCTCCAAGAGAGAAAGACTGGAGCTTCTACTCCTGTCAACAGCAGTCTCAGACAGCTACAGGGGTTGCTGTGCGCCCGCGTTGACCCGATGGCAAGGAGTTTGATTTGTTTGGGGAACACTAGATGAATAGTTTCTCTCTCTTTTTTTAAAGATGAATCTTTTCGTATGGTTATGTAAGAGAAGCTGGGGCAGGGGGCCAGGGGGGCAGGGGAGAGATGAAAAAACTCACTGTCCCCTTCGGACTCGTAGGACAGGGCAGAACCGCCCCTGTGGGTTTCTGAGACTGTCGCTCTGTATGGGAGTAGAAAGCCTCCGCTTCCCCCCAGGAGTGGTTGGTGGTCTCTGCTGAGTGGTTGGTGGTCTCGAACCGCTGGTCTCCAGGTGTCCAATGAGTAACCACAATGCCCAGGGCTCCTGGGGTGGGGGTGGGGGCGACGGGGAGCTGATCATGAGCCCAAACATGAAGAAAAGGCTCTAAAACTGATTGTGGTGGTGATTGTGCAACTCTTTCGATATATTTGAACCAGTGAATTATAGACAGGTAACGTCTGCGTTGATTAAACTGTTCTAAGGGGGACCCCATCACAAGGTTGGATACATAGCCCCACACCTCCAGAGGGGGACACGTAATAGAAAAGTGGGTGAAGGGAGACAATGGACGGTGTAAGATATGAAATACTACTAATGCTATATCATGGATCAAGGCTTCACGAGGGTGGAAGGGTAGGGGAAGGAGGGCTGAAAGAGAGGAGCTGACACCAAGGGCTCACGTAGAAAGAAAATGTTCCGGGAATGTTGATGGCAACATACGTACAAGTGTGCTTGATATGATTGAAAGAGGGATTGCAGTAAAATCTGTAAGAGCACCTCCCCAATAAAATGATTAATAAAAAAAAATTAAAAATAAACCTGTTCTAGAATGTAAGCGGGTGACCCGCCCCAACCCCACCACCGTTAGGAAGTGCCTGGCCTCCACAGTCCACGTGGGTTCAGGGGCCACCGCCCCTGACCACGACGCTCTAAGGAAGGTGGACTGTCTCCACTCTCTTTCCGCTGGCAGCGACCCCTCACCAAGTCCTCTTACAGTTTCTCCTTCTCCCGTTCGACCCCCCAGCTCCGTGGCAGACGAGCTTCAGCCCCCAGAAGACCCAGGAGAAGGCCTTCCACGTGAGCGAGGACGTGGTGGTGCAGGTGCCCATGATGACCGACGAGGCCCTCTATTATTACCTCCAAGACCCCAACCTCTCCTGCAGGGTGGTGGCCGTCCCCTACCAAGGCAACGCCACCGCGCTGTTTGTCCTCCCCCGTGCGGCCTCCTTGGAGCGGGTGGAGAAGGGGCTGAAGGAGCAGACGCTGCAGGAGTGGCTCAAGAAGCTGAGAAAGAGGTGCCTCCTGGTGACACGGGGCCACCAACTTGAGTTGAGACCCCCCAGGCCGCTCAACTCCGCCCTCTGGGGAGCCGTTTCCATGGGCAGTGCCATCCTGGGAAGTCCCGGCCCAGGGGCTGGCTCAGCTGCAGGGAACAGGGAGGGGAGGGGAAGCTGAGTGTCAGGGGACAGGGGGCCCCTCCAAGACCATTCGCAAGGCCAAATCCAGGGTGGGGTGAGCTCCGCCCTAGATGAGGGTGCTGAGCAGGTGCCCAAGGGAGCCTTTGGTGGGAGAGGGGAGCTGGCAGGGGTGAGCTCAGGAAGGGAACGGGCTTTGGAAACATCTGAAGGCATACCCTCTTCTCTTTCCAGGCAACTACAGCTCTACCTTCCCCGCTTCTCCATGGAGGCCTCCTACCAGCTGGAGAAAACCCTCCCCCAGCTGGGTATCGGAGACATCTTCAGCTCCCAGGCTGACCTGGGCGGCCTCAGCCACCAGGCCAACATCCAGGTGTCCGAGGTCTGTCCTGAGGCTCCTGGGTGGTGTCTTTGCTCCTGTCCCTCCATCCCCCTCCTCCCCGCCTCTTCCCTCCCTGATCCCCCTCCTCTCCCCCTGCAAGTGCCCGAGGTCAGCTCTGTTAGTCCTGGGCCTTTGCTTTCAAAGTTCTTTACGCTCTCTCTCCCTCTCCCTCCTCATCCCCTCCCATTCCTCCCCCTCCCCCTTTCTCTCTCTCCTCTCTTCCCTGAAGGAAGAAGAACAGATTGCATTTTGCACCTGGGGAAGCCATACTCATACACCTGTGCCTTAGGGGAGAGAGTGTGTGCTAAGCAACCAAGCCTAAGGCTCCAGCGCCAGCTGTTTTCCTTACTGGCTGTGTGGCCACTACTAAGTTACTTGACCTCTCTGGGCCGCCTTTCTCTCTGGAGAGTCACCCTCTCTACCAGAAAGGCCCCATGGGAATTCAGTGACATCTGGTGCTGGGCACCTCTCAGGGGCTGGGAAGCCTATTTGCCCTGGCTCCAGAGGCGCAAAAGGCTCGGGGGTGGGGGGGTGTCCATGGGAAAATGGCTGTGAGGGCATCGCCCATCCCTGGCAGCTCGGTGATGCCCGTGTCTCCCCTGCAGATGGTGCACAAAGCCGTGGTGGAGGTGGACGAGTCAGGCACCCAGGCGGCCAGTGCCACGGGGATGGTCATCATGGCCAGGGTGGCGCAGGCGCACAGCCTCAGGGTTGTGTTCAACAAGCCCTTCCTGGTGCTCATCATGGAGAACAAGACCAGAAACATCCTCTTCCTGGGAAAGGTGGTCCACCCCTGAGATGGGCTCTTCTTCTGAAAGACCGCAGGCTTCCATGAGGGGGTGGGGGGGGTGGGGGGACACTGGCAGCTCGGGATGCCCACGGGTTGAGTTGATTAATGAGCAGTCACAATCGATAACACAGAGAGACCCATTCCTTTCATCCAGGCTCAGGACATCAGGGCCCCTAGAGAACCCTGGACATCAGGGCCCCTAGAGAACCCTGGACATCAGGGCCCCTAGAGAACCCTGGACATCAGGGCCCCTAGAGAACCCTGGAGAACTTTCCATCCTTTCCATCACCATGAGGCCCAGGGAGGATGGCCGACTCCTCCAGGTCACAGGGCATCTTAAGAGCGAAGGAAGGCCCAGAGCCCCAGCCCCTCAATGGCCAAGTCACTGCCACATCGCAGGAGCTTTGTCCCATAGATAAGAGATACGGAGGAAGCATATCTGGTCTCCTGTCTGCCAGTAATACCAGTGATCAGCTCTGGGGGCATGGCGACGGGCCTCTGTCCAGGCCCCAGGCAGCTAGCTTGCGACCCGGGGTAGCATTGCCCCTCTCTGGACCTCATCTCCCCAGGGAAGGGCAGAGGGTTCCCCATGTATTCTTAAAGCACCAAAATGAAAGGAACACGGAATCAGGTAGAGAGACTGAGGTGTGTCCCGCCGACTGCCGTGGGACTTCCGTGCACTCCGGTGCCCTCTTCTCTAGGGAAAGCAAGTGGGCAGCAGCCGGAAGTGCCCATGGCAGGATCGCACCCTCCTGAGAGCTGCCATCTCCTGGGCCTGGTCGGGCTGGGGGAGAGAGCTAGAAGCCTGTGTGAGTCAGAGTGTTGTCTGGTGACCGCCCTCTGGGCTTTCGTGTCTAAGGTAGTAATAAAGCACATTGCAAAACCCAGTGGTGGTGTTCTCACGGAAGGTGTTGGGGGTTCCACCCGGGTGTTCACCGTTAAATCCACTTGCCCACCCAGAGACCAGAGGACCTAGACGGTGCCCAGCTACGACGACTGGCCACTCTGATTGCAATTACAACGGAGGGTTGGAATGGAAGAAAGTGTAGGGCACAGACTCCAGTACAGAAGGGAGCCCAGACCCTCTGGTCTGACAGACCATGGTCCTCAGACACCCTTCTGACCTGAACTGAGACCGCCTTTCAGCCCACAGGCAGACAGTCCCAGAGGAGAAATGGTCACACCTGACAGGACACCAGGACACGTTCCGTAAAACGATCGATGACAAGAGATCACAAGGACACAAGCAATGGAGGAGAAGGCAGGAAGGGGGAGAAAATTCAGATGCTAGGAAAGAAGGGGGTGGAGGGAGTATGCCCAGGGCAGCGCTGGAGAGCTGACACATTGCAGGGAATGTGACCAACTTCATGAACATTCTACCCAGTGGAAAACAACCAAACGGTCTGTAGACTTTCATCTAAGCGGCATAAGTGTACCTTGCAAAAATAGAGTGAAACCTATTGCCTCTGCACCGTAGGGCAGCTCCATCCCATCCCGGGGTGGGGTGGGGGTGGGGTCACCATGGACCGGACGCATGCGCAGCAGCTTTGGTTTGGGTCTGGCCACTGGGTCGACTCCGGCTCCTGGTGATGCTGCGTGTGTCAGAATAGAGGTGAGCCCTGTAGGGATTTCTGCGGGAGATTTGGGGGAGTCGGTCACCAGCCTTACTTTCAAGGCACTTCCGACTGGACTCAAGTCTCCCCCACCCCCCATACCCTTATGAGTCAGGCCCCTGATCCTCCCCATACAGTGAGGGGGAAAAGGCTTTCTGTTAGTAGCCTCAGATTCATATCCACTTGGGGGCCTTGGTCAAGTCCAAACCCACCAGCTAACCCACCCACCCACTGCCACAGTGTCCATTCCAACTGGTCGCAACCCCATTAGGGTTTCTGAGACTTTGGACATCTTTATAGGTGCAAACACCTCACCTTTCTCCCTCGGGGCGGCTGGTGGGGTTGAACCGCTGACCTGGAAATTAGCAGTCCAATGACATTGCCACCAGGGCTCCTCTGGCCAAGTCCAGTGCCGTCGGGATCCCTCAGCCAAGGATCACCCAGCTTCTGCTGTGAGTCAGGACCTGGGGTGCCTCCCAGGGGGGCTGATTTTCTGAGGCTTCTACAGCCTGGTATCAACTATTGGCGTCTACCTGGAGATGACTCAGAAGAAATGCCTGGTGATCTACTTCTGAAAAATCAGGCATTGCCAACCTGAGAGAGCAGAGGATACCCACAGGGTCACCGTGAGTTGGAATCAGCTGGCGCCTCCTTGCTTGGTGATCACTTGACTCCCAATGGGTATTAGTCCTTCAGACGGCTGGAATGAATTGTTCCATGTTTCTGAAGGTAACACTATGTGATAGCAGCTCAGTCAGGGGGCGTGGGCCAGGGGTGCAAGGGACGGAGACAACGAACTCTGAAGGAGTTCTTGGACTGGTGACCTTGGACTGGGCTTGAAGACTGTGTGGGTCTCTCGGCCCCCCGAGGCTGATGTAACAAGCCCCCGCCAACTGGGTGGCTTGGAAGAACACACACGCTCATTGTCCAGCCGTGCTGAAGGTCCACAGCCTGGGGTCAGTGCTAGCTGTGACAGCTCCTTCTGAGGGCTCTGGGAGGGAGCCAAGCTGTCCCCAAGCTGCTTCTGCCTCCTGCCAATCCTTAGACCTCTTTGCCTTGTCGTTGCATCTGCCTCCATCCTCACATGGCCGTCCCCCTCAGTCCCTGCGTGTCCCGTCTACACTTTTAAAAGGACACCAGCCAGGTAGGAGTCAGAGCCAGTGTACTCTAGGAACTGGAGTCTACTCATGGTCACCCAATGAACAGTCTGCTCATGGTAACATAATGGATAGTCTGCTCATGGTAACATAATGGACAGTCTGCTCGTGGTCACCTAGTGGACAGTCTGCTCATGGTCACCCAGTGGACAGTCTGCTCATGGTCACCCAGTGGACAGTCTACTCACAGTAACCCAATGAACAGTCTGCTCATGGTAACATAATGGACAGTCTGCTCATGGTAACATAATGGACAGCCTGCTCATGGTCACCCAGTGGACAGTCTGCTCATGGTCACCTAGTGAACAGTCTGCTCATGGTCACCCAATGGACAGTCTACTGATGGTAACCTAATTAACAACATCTTCAAAGACCCTCTTCCCATTCAAGGTCATGCATTAGGGTTTAGGACATCAGCATACCTTTCTGGGGACACAATTAAACCCCAAACAGTAGGTTTTGCACAGTGAGCAACGAGGATTTGGGAATGGGTAAGGGTAAGGGGTCAAGGACTTCGAGTGAGCGGTGGAAATCGAGGAAGCATCAGTGTGGACCCAGTACAGGGCTGAGAAGGAGGACGTGGGGGGACATGAGCTGGTGGTGACGGGCTGTTCAGTGACAGGGCCCTGAACACAGGCTAATGTTTTATCTGTTCTCCTTCACCCTGATGACGGGGAACTTTGGTCATGCCAGCCACACCCTGAGTGTTCCCCGAGACATCCTCCCACCCCCCACTCCCCCTTCTGAAGATCAGTTTGTTGTCGTTGTTGTTGTTAGCTGCCGGCGAGTCAGTCCCAACCCATAGCGACCTCCCGTGTGCACAGAGAACCAAACACCGCCCAGTCCCGCGTCAGCTCACAGTCGCTCCTCTGCCTGCGTCCAGTGTTGCCGCCACGGTGTCCATCCATCTGCGGAGGGCCTTCCTCTTTCGCTGCCCCTCCCCCTTACCAAGCGTGACGTCCTTCGCCAGGGACTGGTCTCTCCTGCCAACGTGTCCGAAGTCTGAGGATGAAGTCTCCCCATCCTTGCCTCTGAGGCCATGCTTCTTCCAAACCTCCATCCAGCTCTCTGGGGGACCCTCACAAACATCCACCCTTCCTCTGCGAGGTCCTCACCCGCCCGTTCCTCAGGCGGACCCTCACCCACAGCTGGCTCTGAATGATGCCTGACTGAAATCAGGTCGTCGGTGTGGCTATTCCCAGAGGCCCGCCTTCATAGCCCGCCCTCCCCGAAGTCCCTGCAGCGCTTGTCGCGCTCTCAGGTGTTCTCAGGAACCCACCTTCTCCCCCCTCTCTGGCCGCATGGCCCCCATGCCCTCCTCTCCGTGAGAATGCCACACACGAAGCAGAAGGGCAAGGCTTCTGCCTGGGATGCCCTCCCCCATGCCTCCTTCCAGAGATCCCGACCTTAGCCTTCAGGGAAAACTCTCCCTGCCCCCACCAACAGCTACCCCCCCCCATGTACATGTGACCCATTAGGCTTACTGTATTTAGCTCAGTCATGGACTGGGGGGCAGGAGTCAGCCCGCTGTTCATCTAGGCTACAAACATGGCCTGAGATGTGGTCTGTTTAAGACTCCGCAGAAGACCCCAGCTGTCCCAGCCACCCTCCTCCTTGCAGTAATTCTCCCTTTGAAACTTAAGAATGTTCTAACTCAGCGAATGTGGGCCTGCCAAACCATGTGGACAAGCAAGGCTTCTGAGATAAGGAACGGAGCCTGAGACCTTGAAGGAGGAACAGGATGGCTACCTCCTGTCTCGGGAACCAGGCCTCCTCGGTCCTGTTACAGCTGCCCTCTGCACATTGTAGCAAACCTGTGAAGCCTCCCACATAGTTGGGGAGATAGAACGTGCTTGCCTTTCACTAAACTTTTGAAGCCCTTCTGGGAGTTTTTAACACCCTCCTCCCCGCTCCAGGCTTCCTTCTGAAGGGTGTATGGGACTTCTCTGTACAACCTTTACAGCTCTATACTAGCCCTCTAAGGAGTCCTAGTGGCACCGTGGCCTAGGCACTGGGCTGCTGATCATAAGTGCAGCCATTCAAAACCACCAGCCACCCTGAGGGAGAAAGACGAGGTTTTCTTCTCCCACAAAGAGTTACAGACTCAGACAACCAGGGCCTGCTGTGAGTCCGAATCCACTCAAGGTCAGTGAGTCTTGAGAATACGATCACTACAACTTTTCTTTACATAGGAGAGGATTTGATGTCCAGGTTAACAGGCGAGGAGTCGGCTTGGGGTTACAAAGGAAGGAGTGGAGGCCCCGGGGTAGAGGCGCCCCAGTAGTCCAGATGGGAAGGACCAGGGCATCACAGCATGACAGAGCCCCAGGAGTGGTCAGGGGCGTGTCCAGCTGAGGGCACAGCAAGAAGGCAAGCGTGAACCGGGAGCTTGGAGGTGAGGCGCACGCCATCAAAGCCATCACTAAGCAGGAGCCAGGTGGGGACAGTTGCGAGGCTCTTGGCTGCCACCTACTGGGCTTTCTCTGAAATCCACAATGACTTCAGCAGCCCCTTCCCCAGGGCGGGCAGCTGGGTGCTCTCGTGTGGGAGGGTCCCTTCTAAGGAAGAAGGTGTCTTAGGCAGTAGCCCCAGGACCGGCCCAGTGCTGGGGCCTTCCCTCTCTCGCTCATTCGTTCTTCATGACTTAGGGGACCTAGTCCCTCTGAGAGGTGACCGTAGGTGACAGAGGAACAAATGAGCTTGCACTGTGGGGCTCAGACATCGGCCAGGGGCGCCAGGATGGCCCCTCAGAAGAGGGGAGCTCTGAACAGGGCCCTCAAGACCTGTCCGCACAAGTATCCGCCCAGGGACAGACGCTGGTGAGATCTCCCCTGGATCAGGGACCTCTGTGGCCACCCATTCCCTGCAACTATTAACCATGGGTGGCTATGCAGTCCTGGGGTGGAGGTCCGGTCGAGGCTGGGTGGAGAGGGGGAACACAGGGGTCCAGGGACGTGGACATGGTGGTGGCCTGAAGGGGGTAGCCCCTCCTCTCTCAGACCCCTCTCAGCAGACTGCACAGGCAAACCAGTCCAGGGGGGCCTCACTCCGGAGCAGGGACGCCCAGACGGCGAGAGTCTGAGCAGGGCCAGGTGCCGCCGCCGATACTGGACAGAG